TTTAGAAACACTGTTCTAGTTCTGGGATTGTCAGCCTCCACACAAAGTTTATTTCTAGGCCAGATAATTCCTCACTGTGGGACTGTCCCATACATTAGATACTTGCCAGATGGTATAAGATGGCTTATGCTGCTGAGCTATATCCCCAGCCCTCCTCCAGAGATTTTAACTCACTAGGTCTAGGAGAAGGTCTTCAGGAATTGATTTCTTCTTTTTTCTTTTTCTTTATTTTCCACCTTTTTTTTTGCATTACTGGGTATTGAGTCCAGGGCTTCCCTATGAAGCTATATACCTAGTCTTTTTTTGTTTTGTTTTGTGTTTTTTAAGACAGGATCTCGCTATGTAGTTCAGACCAACCTTGAACACACTGTGTAGCCCAGGCTGGCCTCTCATAGTGTTCTTCCTACCTCAGCCTCTAAGTGCTGGCATCAGACATACACCACCACACCCAGATTGATTGAATCTTTTACTTTAGGGTCTAATATTTTAAAATCTTCATTGTAGGTATAAATCCTCCTGCTAAGGACTAACTAGCAACATTCTTTTCCCATTCTGTAGGTTGTTTCTTCACTCAGTTGTACAGAAGCTTTCTAATTTGATCTGATCCCACTTTTTGATTCTTGTATTATTTCTTTTTTTTTTTTTTTTTTTTTTCGGAACTGGGGATTGAACTCAGGCCCTTGCGCTTACCAGGCAAGCGCTTATTCTACTGAGCCATCTCCCCCACCCCTTGGTATTATTTCTTGTGCCTTGGTGTTCTTTTTAGACAGTTCTTGCCTATGCCTGTCTCTTCAAGAGTTTTATCTGTGTTCTAACAGATTGTTTCTGTTCCAGCACTGAGATTTACAATCCATATTGATTTGAGTTTAGTGTATGGTGAGACCCATGGTTCTAGATTCAGTCTTCTATGTGAAGGTAGTCAGTTTTCCCAGTACCTTTATTAAAGAGGCTGTCTTTCCTCCAGTGTATGTTTTTGGCTCCTTTATCAAAGATCAGATGGCCGAACGCAGGCTGTTTCTGCATCCTCTGTCCCATTGATCCACATGTCTGTTTCTGTGCGCAGTTCCATGCTGTCTTCATCACTGTGGCTTTGGACTATAACTTCAAATCCAGCATTGTGGTGCCTCCTGCTTTGTTCTTACTGTCCAGGATTGCTTTTGCTATTCTTTGTCTCCTTTGGTTCCATGTGAATTTTGAACTGTTTTCTCTAGCTGTGTAAGGAATGTTGTTGGTATTTTGATTGGGATTGAGTTAAACCTGTATACAAGTTTTGGAAGTATGGTCATTTTGACTGTACTGGTTTAAGACAATGATTCTTAAACCTGAGCTTATGTCAGAATCACCTGGAGAGTTTATTAAACAGCTGTCCAGGCTCCACCTCCAGAGTTTGTGACTGAGCTCTCTACTGTGAGTCCCAGTAATCTGCAGCATTTCTAAAAGTTCCTAGGACCGTTGACATGGCTGCTCCAGAGGACATGTTCTGATGGTTCAAGGGCTTCCTTCTCCTGCAGG